TCCGGACCCTGAAAATCGAGGAAAAGTAGTGCCCTATCCTCCGGTATTTATAAAAAATCTTTGGTAGGGATAGAGTATGTACGGCTAAGACTCTGGAAGGATATTAAGGTGTCATTAGAAAATAATTGATCAAGTCGTGTAAGCCCATTCTGTATCCAGCAGGTAAGCTGAATATCTTCCAGGACAAAATCCAAGGTAGACAAAAGGTATATATTTTAAAATGTGATGGTGAGTACTGGGGATAGGTTCCCCTAATGATTTCCAAATCTTCATATTAGCATTGACTGTGTCTAAAAAGGACTTTTTGGGGCTGTGGTTTAGAATGGAAGAACATATTATTAATTTGAGATTTCCTGAAATGAATCTATTTTATACAATTATCAGACCAAGATTTGTGAAAGCTGCATTGGAAAACCTTATGAGGGCACAGGCTGCCCCTGCTTTTATCTTATTATGACTTTTTATCATGTAAGCCTTAAACATCAAAAAGCATTTTATTGCATCCTAATTTTTGAAAGTTCTATTATTGTTTGTGTTTATAGGCAATAAAACAATGTATTGATTGCATAATGATGATTACACATTTCATCTTCTTTTAAAGATGATAGATGGATTTATATATATATATACATACATACATACATACAGTATCTCACAGAAGTGAGTACACCCCTCACATTTTTGTAAGTATTTTGTTACATCATTTCATGTGATGACACAGAAGAAATGACACTTTGCTACAATGTAAAGTAGGGAGTGTACAGCTTGTATATCAGTGTACATTTGCTGTCCCCTCAAAATAACTCAACACACAGCCATTAATGTCTAAACTGCTGGCAAAAAAAAGTGAGTATACCCCTAAGTGAAAATGTCCAAATTGGGCCCAAAGTGTCAATATTTTGTGTGGCCACCATTATTTTCCAGCACTGCCTTAACCCTCTTGGGCTTGGAGTTCACCAGAGCTTCACAGGTTGCCACTGGAGTCCTCTTCCATTCCTCCATGACGACATCACAGAGCTGGTGGATGTTAGAGACCTTGCGCTCCTCCATCTTCCGTTTATGGATGCCCCACAGATGCCCAATAGGGTTTAGGTCTGGGGACATGCTTGGCCAGTCCATCACCTTTACCGTCAGCTTCTTTAGCAAGGCAGTGGTCGCCTTGGAGGTGTGTTTGGGGTCGTTATGTTGGAATACTGTCCTGCGGCCCATTCTCTGAAGGGAGGGGATCATGCTCTGCTTCAGTATGTCACAGTACATGTTGGCAATTATGGTTCCCTCAATGAACTGTAGCTCTGTCGAATGCATGGTTTCCTATTGCCACTACCCCTAATATTCCACACAATGTAGAAAATTACTGTAAGTGTAGGGCCTGAAAAATAACCTGTGTTAGCAAGATCAGTTGAAGCACAGCCAGCACAATCTTAGGCCTTAAAATCAAGTCCCTCTCATTAAGAGAAGTCAGCTAACTCAAATTTCTAGACAAGAGATTAAACAAGGTGCAATCAAGACCGGTTTGCTTGGGCTGCTAAGATTTGGCCAGATGCTAAGGAGATAGAAAATCAGTGACAAAGGCGAGATACGACTATGTGAGAAGGCTCCTATAAATACATTCCCTTAATCAACTTCTGCATATTAGAGGGCAGTGATTCACTGACTAGGATTCTCCAGAACTAGTGTCTGACATACAGTATGAATCAGGGACTGCTAATTGGGAGAGATCTTCTGACACTGGGGATTTGCTTTGTGAAATGCTCCATTAAACACTTAATCAGAAAAATGTTTAAATGGTAAACGAAGGCAGTAACATACCTTTTTAAATCAATTACAGTGTATTTTACCTGGCTAAGGCAACATACTGTATGTTGGACTCTTAATACAGGACAGGAAAAATGTGGATATTCAATAAAGTATGGTCAGGCTGTAGACAAACAGAACTTTAATGCCATACCATGTTAAAATAGCTCAAATGGGAGCTTTTCTGGAAAGCAAGGTAAGGCAAAAGCTATAAAAGGCTAATGAAAATACAACTATCACACTCTCTTCCTCCTTCAATCCAGACTCTACTCAAATATAGCAAAATCTGTACTAGGTATAGTGCAAGTAACCTACCCTGATGAAAGGCATGGTCTTATAGGAGCTTGGAATGTGTTACCTTAACCTGCTGTTAAAGTTTCCTGGATAATATGCAAGGAAAAGAAAATACACCATGCATTTTCGGCTCATTTAATAACAAAGGCTGCCATGTCTTCCACCTTCAACCACATGAACAGTTTAAAAAAAAATAATTTATACTCTAAAGAAGATAGATAAGCACACCAATATCTAAGGCCACCAATATCTAAGGCCACTTTCACACGGGCACTGTCCCTTCTCTCTTAGCAGCGGGTCCTAGATGGATTTCCTGTTCAGTTGGTTCAGAGGGCGTAGATGAAGGTGACGACATATGTGATATCTGTGTCCATTGCATTTTTTTTTTCTCATGTTAAAATGGAGGAGAAACATACCCATTTAATCACTATGGGTGGACATATGTAAACGGATATGTGTCCACCTATAGCTGACCACATCCAGTCAGGTCAGTAAAAAGTGGACATGGATGCAAAGTTGATGCGTTTGTTCTGAGAAACGGACCTGGAAGTGGCCAGATACAGGCAGCCGCACATCTGAACGGCCACATTGATATATTGCAGTCTGTTTTCGATCTATGTAATCACAGCTCAAAACAAGCCATGTGAAAGGGGACTTAAAACTTCAAAATGTCTCCACTAAATCCAGTACAGTAGGGGAAGTGCAAGGAAGCATACTCTTGGATCCCAGACCTTAAAGAGCCCAACAACCGGCTTCAGAGTCTATAGCAGTAGACCCCGGTTTTCGCAGTAGGTCATAAACACAATGAATAAATGCTCATTTTCTGCACTAAACTTGCCTCTGCTGGTTACTTAAATGTCAGAGCGCTCTTTACCCTCTACCTTCTTAACTCACGGCGATGGAAGTGCACTGTTATACCTAGCTTTTGGCAACATTACCCAAATGTAAACCACACTACTCCTGGTCACACATGTGTAATGCCCATTCCCCGGGCAGCTTCACTCAGCAGCTCTGTGATATTCTGCCCTAACCGGTTTCTTGGACACAGCACTTCTGCCCCATAGCCTGTACCAGGGAGCATATCTGCTATGCCCTACTTAGTCTTCAGCAAGAGAGGAGGCACCCAATGTTTCCTGGGTAAGCATATTAAAATCCGTGCATCAATATTTTCATCTGTAATGAGAAAGGCTACAAGACTCTGCACCACACATCTCTTAACAGGAAAACATAGAAGGAAGTGTTATGAAGCCAAGCAGTTTAACATTCTACTTACTGTACTAATAGGAATAATAAACTAGACCTTAAGCCCTCGTTCACACCTGAACGTTTTGTAGCGCGTTCTACGCTCGACGAACGCTCTACAAAACTCTCAAACATCTAAATCCCATTGTATTCAATGGGTCTGGTTCACACCTTGGCGTATTTCAGCCCGTCCCTAATGCGCTACAAAACGGCCCACGCCTGAAAAGGTACATGTACTACTTTGGCCCGTTTTTGTTGCGCGTTTCCATTGGGATACAGCCAAGTAGCGCTCGTAAACGCGCGTTTGTCGCGCAATTTTTTTACCGTGAATCGCGGTAAAAAAAACGCGCGACAGACGCGCATATGCAATACGCCTAGGTGTGAACCAGGGCTTAGATATTCCCAGAAATGCAAGCGTTACCTAAAAAACATGGAAACTGCTTTGGTTTTCTTGAAGGCTGATTTCTCCATGGAATTAAACAGGTTAAAGTGCTATAATGTGCCTAACCTATCATTAAAAATGTGAAACAGATTATTGATATATAAAGCACTACAATGTCATATTTAATGCATTACAAGTTACATGTGCAAACTCAATAATCTATTGTGGAATGCAAGTATTAGTACTTAAATAAATAATTGTGTGCAATATAAATGGTTCACTTCAGCACACAAGAATGTGACTATTATGTTCTATAAGAGGTTGAATTGCTTGTTCTATATAATATACAATCCTCATATTTTCTTTACATCTGTCAATACATACAGCCAGTGTAATCATTTTTCTTTACAGTTCAACAGAAAACCTAGCTAAAAGATGGCTTAATCTTTTTTTTTTAAACCCTACTGCAGCCCAATATTTATTTAATGATATACTCAGCAGCAGAGCCGCTTTAACTGCTGAGGAAAACTGTATTTAATGTCGTTCCTTCTTGTCCACTCAGCCCCTCTGGCTGAGAACCCTGGGTGACTTTGAGGCCACCTAACACCGTGGTATTGCCTCACAATGCCACATATCCCCCCCCTTTGTTCCGATCCAGAGGAGCGGACACACGTGCTTAAACAGTCCTTCTGGATATGTTCCATCTTTCTCCGTCTATGCTTCCAGCAGCGACAGTCCCTTACTTTAAACAAAGTCACTCCAGTCTTTCCCTCTACAAAGCTACCAGTTACCTCTATGCTACGAGACCCCAATGTCTCCACATTGACCACCTCTGTACAGTTATCAGTCTCCTTGCAGGTAATTTTGTGTGCAGTCTCCAAATACTTTGTCCACGATGGACTCCCTAAAGTCAGTCAAGGTCACCCCGGTACAAGTCGCTCTACCGTCACCCTCAGCATGACCCTTGTCAATGTAACCTTGCTCTATTTCTGTACTAGCTAATATATATATATATATACACACATACACACACTGTATATATACACATTTTCATCCATGAAGGACAAGGACAAAACAATTAACTGGTCTGCTTAGAAGAATACAATTCAAAAAACACAGGCCACTGTCCTCCTACTGTGCAATAACATTTTAATAAGCAATTTTCATGAAGCGCACTTCCATCTTCATATTGTCAAAACTAGCTGAACGCAACAATTAAATTGGTTTATAAGCAAGACGCCAGTGTAACCCTGCATTAATGAAATACCATACAAACACTATATTGTACCTTCTATATCTTCATGGAGATCGGAGTCCTCTGTGGAGGAGGATCCTTCATCATTCTGAGGATGTGGTACATAGTCATCTGGAGGAAGACTCACAGTATAGATCTTCTGATGATGCATTAACTCCTTTTCATTATGCACTGCAAAATGTCACAGTATTTGTTTAGAAACCAGTTACATAAACCGTGTACTGTGTATATTATAAGAGTGAGTCTAACTACAGTCATGGGTAAAAAAATTGGCACCCCTGCATTTCTGTCAGATAATGCCCCACTTCACGCAGCAAATTGTTGCAATTACAAATGGTTAGGCATTCTCATGTTTATTTCTTTTGTTTGTATTGGCATAACACAAAAAAGTGGAGGGAAAAAAAATAATTGGCACCTTCTCCAAATTGCAAAAAATAATTGCATTCCAAGTTTTTAACTACTGTCATGGGTCATGCCCTCCTCAAAATATATAAACAATGATTTTTTCTTAGAAGGAAAAATCTAGAAATGGTAAATGTGCTTAAGCAGTACCCTTACATTTACATTTTGACTTGGAATACTTTTGAAAGATGCACTTTCTGTGCCCAGGCACTCCTAAGGTACATTGTCTATGACTGTTGGGTGAGATTTGGTAAAGCCTACTGCACTACTGTGCTGCTCAACGTTCTCCTTGCTGGAGAGGAAGCTGTATCTGAGGATCTGCAGTGCAAAATCTCCCTGCTTCTGCGTAATTCATTCTTTGGATCTGTGCTTTCTGAATATTTGCTCACCAGTCATCTGAGGGAAGCTTTGACATGAGGCAACAAAGTCCTGTCTCTACCAAGATTGCCACCACCACACAGAGAAACAGTGCAGAACAGAGCATGGTGAATCAGTAATAGGTAAATGATCAGCTGCAGGGAGTTTAGAGGCAATACTGGTGACTATTGCTTTGTCCTCTGCTTGCCTCTTTTCGGCACAGCTTCTACAGTTCACATCCTTTATAAATGTATCTTGTGGTCAAACACACTAATTAAACCATGCAAACACTGGTGTAATTTTTCTTTTTGTAAATTCTTTATTTAATAATTCAGACATAGTTATACAAAACATGCAAAGATATCTGTAGAAAGTAATGATCAAATCTAAAAGAGATTAATAATATATCTAGAAGTATATATGCATTTTCAAATAAAATTGTAATAATAATATAATAATATAGCAATAATGATATCAAATGAAAATGAAATAATCAATGGTTTAGTTCATATAGTTGAAACGGTTTTAATATTAAGGGATATCAGAAAACAAAAATATATATATCAATTATAAAAAGTCAAACAAAAGGTGGAGAATGGTTGGGTAGCGCAGGGAAAGGTGTAGATAAAAAAGAAGAATTAGATAAGGAAAGATTAGAATATAGAAAAAAAAAAATATAGAAAAGGGGAAGGAGGAACAGGAATCGGCTTAGGTTATCATGTTGGGTATACAAATTGTCTTCTGGTTTGACATCAGGGAGTTAAATTCTGAAGAAGGTGAAACAAATCCAAATCCAGGTATGGTGAAACTTCTCTTTTCTGTGGTAAAGAGAAGCAGTGAGATTTTGCATTCTATAGATGTCATCAACTTTAGAAAGCCAAATTTGGATAGAGTATCTTGCTTCCATAATAATGGTATACAAGCTCTTGCTTTGCATTAACTAAATGTAGTCCTGTAGTTTGCTAGAAATGGAGGAATAGTGGGAAAACTACAAGATGTCATCTCTCTTGGTAAAACGGGTTTGTAGGTCTCTTTCCCATTTAAGTATTAGGGGTAATAATAATTAGGAGGGGAATTAAGGAGATGATAAATATGAGAAAGGGTATGTCTGCAGAGTTTCTCGATTGGAGTAGGGACAGATCATTTATCGAGATTCCTATAAAGAGTTTGTATGAAATGAGAAAGTTGTAGCGTTTGATTTTTCCTACCTGGTATAGTACTGCTTTCTAGATTCAGCTCAGAATCAAGTAACCTAAAGTAAACATTAAGAAAATAAAATGTTATGATTAAAAGGAACTCCAAAATTAAATAACAAATGTACTTTGTATACCAATTTCACACTTCTTTACTCTACTCCCCCCTGCCAACTTGGGCCCCATGGAGTGCCACCACAGACATGGAATAGATTTTTTTTCTTTTAAAAAGGAATCATAATTCTGATAACATTACAGACAATATGTGTGACCAATAATCAGCAGGATTACTTTATGGACAACTCAACAATTTCTAAGTAAGTGTTGCCGTAACTGCATGCAGTTCATGATGACATACCAGTACCATTTTCAAGGCAATATTAACAGTGATGCATGACGGGAGCAATAGGGGCAAGTTGTAGAGCTATGTACGAAACAGAACTGTACAATGTTTGGAAGGTAGCCACTAAACATTTTTGGACATATTTTATTATTATACAGGATTTACTGTATATAGCACCAACAGTGCTTTACAATATTAGAAGGAGACAGTACAGTTACAAAGCAGTTCAACACAAGAGGGTTAGGAGGGCCTTGCTCATGACAACTTACAATATAAAAAGGGAAGGGCAAGTGGTACAAAAGGTAATAACGGTAAGGGATGAGCTGAGTAAGTAAAGCACAGTATTTAGATGGAGGTGGGATAGGCCTCCCTAAACAGATGAGTTTTCAGGGATTACCTAATAAGGAAAAGAATAGGAGATAGCTAGAGGGATTGCCTTAGGTAGTTCAAGAAGATGGCCTTTTTTTCATGGCCTTCCCATTTTTACAGACCTCCTGCAAATTTTTTGACAGCTGGCAGCCCAATAATGAATAATTCCTACAATCTCAAATGTTAGTTATCACTGTCATGGGTACATCTACACTACCAGATTTTCAAAATTGAGGCGCAAATTGGTTGAATATCTTGTGGATACTGACCAATGAAAGTGTATTCCTTTTTTACTTCCTAGTTACATTTAAAACTGTATACTTTATTTTGTGTTAGTGTAAAGTTGGTCATATGCTCCTCGAATTTTCAGCAGCATTCTAGCAGTTTGTGGCCCCATCTGCACCTCTCTGCCGGTCTGACAATTCTTGGCTGAACAGTGACTGCAGTCTATCAGCTGCAGTCACAATTTAGGTATTCTGACAATGGCACACCTGCAGTGGATTCCCCCATCCATGCTGTTTTTTTCTCATTCGGCACCACGGGAATGAATGACAACAAAAATGCATTGTGTATGGCCAGTTTAAAGCTGTATAATTTTGTTTGCGTGTCAAAGCTAAAACCGTTGTATGGTACATATACAGTATATTGTTTAAATGACCATACACACTGTACTACAGCACCAAAAGGTTGTCTCACTGTGCAAAACGGCTGTTACTGAAAAGCTATGTTCCTTATTTACACATTAGGGAACCTGTTGTTAGTGTATGGTATATATGGCCTGTTGTGAAATGCTTTCTTTATATTTTAAAAGAGAACTGTGGCCAAGTCTTTTTTGGTGTTAGTTATCTTTTGGATCACCGGAGAATATTTACTAATGTCCTCCTGTAACCGAAAACTCAGCAAATAACTGGCTATTGGCCACTTTATGTTGAGTCGTGCTGCAAATGGGAAAGATTAACCACTTTCAGTCCATGCGTTGTAATTAAATGGCCGGGCTGTGGCTTATTAAATGCAGGTGGACTTTTTGAAAATGCCCTTTCTCCTGCGTGCATGAGCAGAAAACGGTTTGCATTTTAAACAGCCGGCGATGGCTGTTTACATACAAGCATTCGGGAGGCATTCTTGCAATGTGCGTTTGCCCCCATCCGCGGGACGGGCCCGGGACCGACACAGCAGCTCTGTATTACATCACTTCCACCTTCCGTTGTCATTTCTCTAGTTTCTGAAAAATGGAGAGAAGCTGGTGAAGCAGATCTTTGCTTCTTCAGCTTCTTTGGGGGTCCCTAGGTGACATTAGTTAAGTGTAAAAAAAAAAAATTAAAGTCACAAAAAATTGAAAGTCAAATATAATAACAAAACAAAGAAAAAACTTTAAAGTTCCTCGCCCCCCACATACACACACATACAAATGCAAACATGCATCGGGTGCAAACGTCAGTATGAGCAATATTTCTAGGGCCATCAATCAATGTTAACACAAAACTGAAGAGCAGTAAAAGCTTTTAAAGTGTCGCCTATGGCCAATTGTGGTTATGGTAATTTTTTGCGATTTGTGGGTCCGCACAATTTTAATGCTTGACATGTTTGGTGTCTATTTACCCAACATGACCCCATCTTTTATATTTTACCAAAAAATTGGGTAATAATAAAGGTTTCATAACATAACGGAAACATTTTTCAAAATTTTTGGTACATTTTTCTGTATACAGTAGAATAAAAAATATAAAAACATCAGTGGTGACTAAATACCACCAAAAGAAAGTTGTATGTGTCCCCAAAAAATGGTATAAAATTAATTTCAGTACAGCGTTGCATGACGGAATAAATGTCAAAGTACTTCAGCGCTGAGTACTGAAAAATGGCCTGGACAGGAAGGGGTTCAACACAACTTAAATGGCCAGGTCATCAAGTGGTTAATGACAATATTGTCAGGATCTACCCTGCCTATCTAGAGGCAGAGCCAGCTGTGCCCTCCCTCTCCCCTGTCTGTCCCTCCAGTCAGTGCTGGAGGAATAGAGAAGGGAGGAGGGGATCCCTGCGGTGAGTGATGACTGACAGTCACTGCTCCCTGCAGAAAGAAAATCGTGAGCTGAGCAATTAGCATTATGTGATCATTCAGTTCTCAATCAACAGAGCCGACATGCGACAGCTGCAGTGTGCGACGTCAGCTTTAACTGTGTGGATGAATGCATTTCCCTCTCCCAAGTTTTTCTTTAGGCTTTCACAGACTTTTCATTATCATCTTAAAAATACAAAATTGGTATTTGAATATACATTAAACAATGTATTGATAATCTTTATTTTTGTTACCTGTTACAGTTATTCTGTCCAATGTCCTTGCTTGTTAAATTGAACCCTGTTGAAAGCCAGATAATAAAAATTAATTGTGAACAATGACCTCACAAAAATGATGCTCCAATTACAATTAGCTGTAACCAAATACAATCTGCAAAACATTCCTAACAGCTTTCTTGAAATTAGTGAAAATATTTACTTAAATTTCAGCTTCATGAAAATATACATTTTTACTTAAACCATGAAATATTGTACACAACAATGCTTAATGCCGATTATACACTGAAAAGCACCCAACGTGCAACCACATTGAAATACACTGTCTTCCAGAAGAGGGCAGCAAGTGACCTTGACATAAAAAAGTTGGCAGTCCATTTAAAAAGGTGAGAAACAACATCCAGAACACAAGCATTCAAAGAAAAAGCACAACGCATTTTAAATCCTGACAACTTAATCCAAAAAGATTTTGCATTTTGTATTTCACTTGTAAACTGCAAGAAGCAAGATTCTGTGGACTCTGCAGACTCAAATTCCGCAGAATACAAAAAAACCCCACACATTTCCGAGTAGCAAATATTTACTGCATGAAACAAATATTATGTATAAGGGTCACACTATTTATTCATCATAATATCATACTATTCATAATAAAATATTTGATAAAAAAATTTAAGCTAATCATTTATTTCCTTTCAAGGTTTTTTTTTTTAACACTTAAAAAGAGAAGTAAAGCCTTTTTTGGCTTTACTTCTCTTTTTGGTCAAATGAGTATATTTACTAATGAACTCCTGAGACTCAAAGTCAGCAGATAGCAGGCTACTCCCCCCTAGATGCTGACAGTGCAGAACACCACCACAACTGGGAAGGATCGTAACAATATTGTCGGGATCCACCCCACTGCCTGATTGACACCTGGCTCTGCCTCTCTAGAGCTATGCCCGCCCCCTTCCCTGTCTATCCCTCCAATCAGCATGGGAGAAACAGAGAGGGGAAGGGGCAATTTTTGCGGAGAGTGGTGACTGCTCTCTGCATGGAAAAGACACCAAGAGCTCACTAATCAGCGGTTACATGATTGCTCAGCTCTCAGTATAGAGCAGGCGTGTAACAGCTGCAGTGTCCCACGCCGGCTCTAAGTATGGGGGAGAATATGGGTTCTACAAGTTTCTGTTAGACTGAGTTTAATGCCTGTCTGGTGAAAGCATGTCATTATGCTCAATAATAACATGCAATGTCAAGCAGCAGTTTCTAAAGCAAGCAAAATATTTTCTTGTATTAAAAGGGGTCTAGACTCCAGAGAGAGAGAGAGAGAGAGAGAGAGAGAGACATATTCCTGCCCCTGTACAAAGCTTTAGTGAGACCTCACCTGGAATAGGCAGTTCAGTTTTGGGCACCAGTTCACAAAAAGGATGTTGTGGAACTGGAGAAAGAGGGCGACTAAACTCATAAGAGTCATGCAGGAGCTCAGCCATGAGGAAAATTTAGCTGACCTGAATTTGTTCTCTCTGGAGAAGAGGCGACTAAGGGGGGACATGATTACCATGTATAAATACATAAATGGTCTGTATAGTGAGCTTGGTGCCAAATTATTCACTTTAAGGTCACTGCAAAAAGGACAAGGGACACTCTTTCCATCTGGAGGAAAAGAGGTTTAACCTTTGCCTACGGAAAGGATTCTTCACAGTTAGAGCTGTAAAAATGTGGAACAGAATCCCCCAGAAGCTAGTTCTAGCTAGCTCAGTTAATTGTTTAAAAAAAAATCTGGATGTATTCCTAAATGCCCAGAATATTACTGGATATGGAGTAGGTTTTTATTTGACCTTCCTCTGGATCAACAGTGGGTAACTGTGGGCAAATCAATCTGTTTTAGGGGTTTTTTATTTTGTTTTTTTTCCTCCTCTTATTTCTTTAGGTTGGCCTCGATGGAATTGTATCTTTTTTCAACCTGACTAACAATGTAATGTTACAGCTACAAGACAAATCATACCAGGAAGTCTAGTTTTTTTTAATGGGACCATCCTAGTAATGTAAAACATAATTAATAAAACTGCATGAAACAATAATTATGAGGAACATGTAGTATCCTTCTGTTGCCAGATTCCAGTTTGGAGTACGCTACTCAAAATAAAAGATTCTCACTTTCTAAAACACAAAAGCTAGTGACAGGTATGAAGTGCTAATGCCTGCATCAGCTTTTGGTATTTTCCTGGCAGGCAACTTGTCAGGCAGGTGTGACAGTCAAAGCTCTGACACAGGTAGTAGAGCTTGCACTGTCTTTCTTACCAGCCCACATTCCTACTGGCCCATCACTACGTGTCACTGGCCATTAGGAATGTGCAGCAGGCAGGAAAGGGCAGGAACACTTCAGCACTTTTTGGAACTGCAGAAGCTTTACCTCTCAGAACAGACTAGTATTTGCGGATACAGGGGGTAATAGCTACTGCCACTCTGCGGGCCACTAGGCTTTTCTTAAAATAGAAGTTACAATTTTAACAAATACTCTCATGCTTAATATGACAGAAGAGACTGTGTAAATGTCTTCTGTCATACATTCTGTATCGGGCTGTCAGCACTTTTTTTTTCTGTGAACTGAGTCGTGCATGTGCAGTCTGGTTTACAGGCTTGGCAGAATTCCTTGCTGAGGTAAAGTATCTCTTGTGCACATGCGCGGCAGTTGCTCCTCATCTGGCTTTGGCCAATTAAGTGGACAAAATAACCCTGTAGAAGACCGGGATGAAGATGACGCCGGCGAGGCAGGGAAGCAGTGACACTGCAGCATTGGAAGGGATTGCTTTGGCAAGTAAGTCTGCCATAATACGTTAATATACTTAATGACTTTACTTCCACTTTAAAGGTACAAGTAAACCCCAACTGGCTGGACATGAGAAGTCATCCCATCCTCTGAATGGCATTTTCTGGGGCTTTAATAGTACAGGAGGTGGGACATATCATTCTTCCAATGTACATTAAAACCTTTAAATCCAGAAAATACACATGCCCAGACAAAATGAGTGCTTTCTTTTCCTAGCTTCTTTCTCCTCCATCTGGCAGAATGATATTTACAATTGCATCACAATTTTTATTACAGGTATTTATATAACACTGACAGTGTATGCAGTGCTTTACATTCTACACATTCAAATCAGCCCCTGCCTTCAATCTGAGGTCCCTATCATACACGCATACATACAGGGCTGATTTAGAAAGGAGCCAATTAACCTCCCAGCATGTCTCTGGAGTGTGGGAGGAAAATGAAGTACCCGAAGCAAACCCACAGAAGCTTAGTGCTACAGGGCAGAAGTGCTAACCACCAAGCCACTGTGCATTCCTAACACTCATTTTACCCAATTCTTTTATTACAGTGTAAAGCGAGTTTTCAATCCTCTCACCTAGCACTACAGTATATAATGATGTTAAAACATGAATCTAAACATAAAATCTAAAAGTTCAATTACCTTACCCTTGGTTTGTGCTCCTCAATATCCTCAATATCCAGAGAAATGTAAAAAAATAGTCATAATGAATTTAGAGGAAAAGGGAATTATGGCCAGCTCCCATTTTTCATATGTAGCGCTATTATCTAGGCTTGGATATGCACCATTTATCAGACGGGGAACATCCTGTCTTGTCTGCACTATGTTTCTTTTGAATAATCAATCCCTCTTTTGTCCTGGAAATTTCACTTTTTCTAAAAGAACACTTTGATCTGATGATGTTGAAAAGGCAGCTTTCTTCAAAATAATTGCAAAAGACATAAATGATACTTAAACATATGGATGTGATTTAATAAGAACATGATTTACTTGATATACGCATAATATATCCAGAAACTCTATTTTTACTAACACTGAATAAAATCATTGGAAGATTGTATTTTTACCCAACATGCACATCCATAGTTTAATCTCAGGCAAACTCCCTACTGGCAGTGAATCTGCTCTGCCAGCAAAGAGGAGGGAAGTAAAGCTGCATATACAGATTTTTGTGTTTCAGCGTTTGGGCCGACCAGAAAAAAAAATAAAAAATTGAACAAATTCCTTTATCCATGCTAAAGAGCGTAGATGGAGGAATCTCCTGCTGTGGCTATTGTATTTTGATAGTTGGCCCCGCCGGCCTTTAAAATACCTAAAGAGAGCCTGAATCTGAATAGGTGTAGGCATAGTTCGCATGACATTTTTTCTCCCAGCTCCTTTGATTTTTCAATGGAAGGACGTTGGGCAGAAGCTAGCAGACAGAGCCACCCATTTAGGGAAGTTTGTTCCCGGACCAAAAAAGCATCCCGATGTATCCCTATGGTATTTCTCAGCTCTGTAAACACCAGAGCAGCCCATTCCGGTCTAGACCAGAAACATACTGCATGTCTCATTTTCTCTGGTCTGGAAAGCACTGGAATGCACCTGTAAGCCCATTTTAACCACTTGAAGTCCGCGGTGTTTAAACCCACTTCCCATCCAGGCCATTTTTCAGTATTCAGCGCTGCGGTACTTTGAATTACATTTACTCCATCATGCAACGCTGTACTGAAATACATTTTATATCATTTTTTGAGGACAGATAGAGCTTTCTTTTGGTGGTATTTAATCACCACTGGGGTTTTTATTTTTTTTACTATATTAAAAAGGAAAAATTACTGAAATTTTGAGGAAAAAAACAGTTTCCCCTATATTAAATGATAAAACATTTGATATTACCCAATTTTTTGGTAAAATATAAAAGACGGGGTCACGTCGGGTAAAAAGACACCAAACAGGTCAAGCCTTAAAATTGCGTGCGCGCGCAAAACTATAATACCCAAAATTGGCCATAGGCGACGCTTTAAAAGCTTTTACCGCTCAACAGTTTAGTGTTATCAGTGATTCATGGCCCTAAAATGATTGCTCTCACTGCGACGTTCGCGGCGATATGTAACTTGTGTAGCGCAATTGTCGTTTTCGCGCGCTGGTGCACCGGGCGCGAATTTTACTTTTATATGTGTGTAAACGTGGGGGTGGTGGGGACTTAAGAATTTTTTGGGGGGTTTTTTAAACTTTTTTTATATGTGACTTTTTTTTTTTTTTTACACTTAATGTCATTGCTATTACGAAGGGGGATAAAAAGCCCCCTACTTAATAGCAAAGGCACACTGACAGGTTATCTCTAAGACCCCTAATGTCACCTGGGGACCCCAAAAGAAGCTGATGAAGCAGAAATCTGCTTCATCAGCTTCTTCTCTCTGGCAATGATTGACAGCCAGATGATTGACAGGTGAATGCGGAAGTTATGTATTTACACATTACTTCCGCATTCACAGCACGGAGGGAGATCAGCAAGGAGGAATCCCGGGATTAAAGGTGAGCAAATCCCGGGATTGAAGGTGAGGGGTCAGGGGCGGCATCACAATCACGGTGGCGGCACTCGAGGGGAGTCACGGAGCCAGCACATACACACGATCGGCAGGCTATAGAGCCACCGATCGTGTATATGTGAAACAGCCCGTGCTCTCACGGGCAGAAAAAAAATGCCGTCTGGAGACGGCAACCTGCCAATACGACTGTGCTTTCCGTCTGTTTTTCTGCAACGGGCGGACGGCAACTGGTGCAAACTGGGCAAAAAAAAACAAACTGCGGCACTAATCGCGGTAAAAATGTGGCAAAAACACAAATCACCGCATTCCAGATCTGGTCCGGAAAACCTGGCCTAACCTGTTGTCCTTCTTTACACCAAATTCCCACTATCCCCTGTAGCTTAGCTACATCGCCAATTAAGACCCACAGTAGGAGTGCCTTTTGACTGCTAAAATGACCCTTTATGGCTAATGAAAAAGCATTATTGTAAACCAAAACATTGCATTTAGTACCGTGGGGAAAGCTGAAGAAGATTATTTTAGGAAGCTTCAAAATTCATGCCCGTCAGACACGTTTCAGAAGCAGAGCAGAAGTAGCACTCTATAGGAATATTTAGCTTTTTTTTTGCGTTATTTGGCTGTAGTTACCCTTTAAAAGCAATTGCCAGCCTTAACCCCCTCCCGAAAAAACAGAAACAATTCCCATTTCAAAATTTTTCTGTTGGAGTTTATGACAGAATTATTTAAAAAGTGTTTACCTGCTGAAGACGGTGCTGAGGGCTGTGCATCCCCTGAATGTGTTTCTATTACTGCTTGCTGCTGGGTGACACTTTCACATTTTCCATTATCAACAGAGCTAGAAATGTGTCCTGGATAAAGTATCGTCAAAACTCTGGAAAGAATTGCTTTATAAAAAGAAGAACACAATACAATTTACAACTTTTACAGGCATGTTACTGGTCTGTTTACACTTCCAGTGATATTAAAGTAAAAAAAAAAAAAAGTAAAGCTTTTTCAAATGCTGATGAAATAACTTACAATGGATGCTGCTCCTTAAAGTGACATTAAATCCAGATAATACTTCTTTAAATGTTTGCCCAGTCATCATGTTTCCAATCAACTGACTCCAACTCTCTCTGATCGGGTTTCCTGAACTTCCGGTCCAGTCCAAGATCACAAGGGACAGAGCAGTCTGCAGCAGCTGTCCATTTACTAGCTTGGAGAATGGGGGAATGAGGAGCAGGGGAGTGGGTTGCCCTGCTGTGCCTGTGTGTTTGTGGAGACACACACAGCTTACAAGCACACACAAGGGTGGCTCCATTGAACCCTGCAAGGGAAAGGAGCCCCCTTAAAACAGGATATCAGGACCAGTGCTCAGTTCCTGGGTGGGAAGGGGGTTTAACACCGCGGATGTCAACTGGTTAAAGGAAAACTCCACTAGTGTTAAAATATTAATATAGCATATAAAATTGCTACACAAGGCAATGTGTCATTTTATGTTATTAAAAATTAGATTCCATTTCCATCTAAGGTCAATTGAATGCAATATGGCAACCTGGACGTGGTCTCTACACCACTGGTATACAAAACGCCCCCAATCTGCAATGAAGATTGTTAAAATCCTTGCAATATGCATTGAAAGCCCAGAACGGAGTTACCTTATTTCTCGGAACAAACAG